CGTGGCGTGACACTACTCACGTGACCTTGCTGACACAACACTGCCCCTTCCTTAGTATTGTTAGTTCCGACGAAACTTTAGCGACACAAGTCATTACTTAATAAAACTGGTTTATTATTTCTGAATATAACTTTACCGATACACTTATTTTCACAGTCGCTCTATAACAAACGTTTTAACAACGAACGTTAACTTCAACAATACTTTCTGACTGCAGTTCAATTACTCACTACCTACACACATTGTTCCGTCACGTTGTGAGCGTCTTATATATATATACCAGACTAACATATATCTAGTAAATGCTAGGGCATTCACGTAGGAACAGGATAGTTCTAGAAACGTGGCGTGACACTACTCACGTGACCTTGCTGACACAACACTGCCCCTTCCTTAGTATTGTTAGTCCCAAACAATAGCCACATACAATAAACCAATAACAATTAACAATAACTTAATTAAATGTACAGAATTACAAACACAAAATTACAATTCAACTAAGTCTCTTAATTTTATGGGACGTATCTTCTTCCGTACTGGTCTCCGTCTCGTTGGCTTCTGCTTCATGTGGGGTTCATCTGCTTCATCAGTAAATGTCCTATCATCGGTAACAGTCACATCAGTGGTAGTAACTTCATCAAGAGCTTCATCGTTTCCTTTCTCAAAACTGAGTAGAGTTTCTTCTTCGATGTTGGCTTTTTCAGGTGACACCTCTTCAGCAGCGTCATTTGTTCCTTTGTTCACTTCGTCCCAACTGAAATGTCCTGGACCATGATAACGCCAAAGCCTGTTGGCATGCACCACTTTTGGTTTACCTCGCCCACCACATTTTACCCGGAAAGTCACGTCTGAGAGACGATCCACTATGTCATATGGGCCTTCCCATGGAGAAGACAACTTAGGAGACTTCCCTTTGGTATTCCTGGGATTATACAACCATACCTTGTCTCCAGGTACAAAGCAGACTTCAGTAGATCTCTTATCATAAGTTAACTTCATCGAATCAGCAGACGTTTTCAAGTTTGAATGCACTTGATGGTGAATATCATCCATCCTTTCCGATAACACTTTCACAAACTCTGAAACATTCTCAGGCAACTCTTCATAAGGTGGACGTCCTGTTAACAGATCCACTGGCAACCGAAGTTCCCGACCAAACGTCAACTTTGCTGGAGTGTATCCAGTGGTTTCATGCTCTGCTGTCCTATAGGCCATCAACAGTGGAGGGAG